AACACTCCGTGTTCCAGAGCTTGCTACTATCCTGTTATCCTCTGTGTTCCATAGTAAGCTTCTTTCCTGTGTAGACTCTGTGTATCCCTTGCTCCCCTTTCTCGTATTGAGTTATCTGTTTTGTATTTTGTTATTTTATTGTGTTTCTTGCATATATTAATACACTTGTTTTTTATTTTATTTGTGTGTATTCTGGTGTTCTAGATTTTTGAATTCCTGCCTATAGTGGTTGCAGCCATGGTCAGCACACCTTTCCAACCAGACCATGATATTAGAACATATATCAAATTGATGTATAATGTCTTACTCAGTGTTTCCTAAAAAATATCTAAATGTATCATCTGTCATCACTATTTTTCATTTATTTGTTATTTTTCTGCAGAAACAGGCACATCTAGCATAAAAACGTACATGTTACAAACATAAATAAAATTGTCAAATATCCTTATCACGAGAATCTCAAAGGATCTTGCTGGCATTTTGTGTGATGGAGCTTCCTGAAATGCCATCAGAATGTTAACATACGGTATCTGTAGCACAGTGGCAGATCTGGAGGGGGCGGGGGACAATGGGGCAATTGCCCCCCTCCTCCACCTCCCGAGAAAATAGTGCTGGCCCAGGGACTCCCCTGCTGGCCCATGCAGGACTGGCACTATCCAAGCGCCAGCTCTGCTGTTTGCCATCATGGATCGGAGGGGAGATCAATGATCTCCCTCCCCGATCCACAGGCACATTGCTGGCAGCTGACAGGCAAGGGAGAGAGGATCAGGGGAAGCTCTTACCTGCAGCTCCTTCGGGTTCCCCTCTCACAGGCATGGAGTGTTTCAGCAGTTACCGCTAGAATTCACTCTCACCACCAGGACCACCAGGGAATGGAAGCACTGTACCCCTTTCAGGCCTCAGGTTAGAAGGTAGGGTATTAACTATATATATTTAATAATAATGAAAAATAAAAAAAACTTGTAAAACATATTTTTAATCTGCCCCTCTACCCCCTGACACAAACTATAACCCCCTACACACTGCACCACACACACTGCCCCCCTACACACACTGTCCCTCTTACACACAAAACCCCACAATACACACAGTGTACTCCTATAAACACACTGCCCCCCATACACACAAACACACTGCACCCCTCACACAAAAACAAACTACAGTGTGCCACTCACACACAAACACACTGCCCCCAATACACACTGCACCCCTCAAACACATATACACACACACTGACCACAATACACACACTGCCTACCTTACACACAGCCTCCCACACACAGCCTCCCACACAAACACTGCACCCCTCATACACACTGACCCCCATACACACAGCACCCTCACACAAAAACACACTGCCCCCTTATACACACATTTTGCTCCCAATAAACACTGCCCCAATACATACACTGCTCCTCCATACATACACTGCACCCGTCACACACAAACACACTGCTCCCAAAATACACATTGCTCCACCATAGATGCACTGCCCCTCCCCATACACACAGGCCCTCCATATACATACTGCGACGCTCACACACACGCACTGCACCCCTCATGCACATACACACTACTGCCCCTATCCAGGCAGACCCCAGGTAAGTTATCAAACTGTTTTTAAACGGTTTGATTACTTACTCTGGCAGGGCACCATGGCACTCCTGGCACCAAAACGACTATAGAGAGCTGTAGAGGTTATTGTGCCTGGATTGTTTCTTTAAATAATCTACCAGCGCCCCTCCCAAGATTAAGTTCTGTATCAGCCCCTGCTGTAGCATAATGTCCTCCTGCTCTTACCTAGATGGGATGCACATTTATTGGACCTCAGGCGTGGCATCATTTTTGTTTATAATATAACTGTTTTTATATCATATCACAACATGATGGGTTTTCTTTGGCTAGATGACTATTTTAGGGCACCCACTTCTTTTCACAAGCACCCCATTGCCTTCTTTGATGTAACATTGTGAGGCTCTTCTGATACCCACTATAAAAGCATCGTCCACTATCAGGATTGGACTGGCCTTAAATTTGAGCGCTACAGGGTCTGGTAGAAAGAATATACTGGTCTTAGGCTAGAGCTATGTGCAGAATGAAAGCTAAATAATAACAATGTTTTTGATTAATTAAAGCGGCACTGTCACCCCTTCCCACCCCCCCCCCTTGAAAAATAGAATCTTTAAAAAACACTTATTATGACTGTGTTGGAGTTTCACTGAAATGCCAACCCAGTCAAGAGATATACAGAGACAAATTAGGGACTACATTGTCTCAGTATACTCCCTACGCCTTACACTTCTAGACACTGGGTAGAGCTACTGCTGTCTAGAAGTGTCACTCCCCCTCCTGTCTCCAGCCGTCACCAGTGATGGAGCAGTTTCATGGGATCAGCCATAGACCTCTATATTGCGCACACACTGAAACGGAAGCGTCAGGAGTTAAAGATGAACCGCTGGAGGAAGATTGCGGCACCAGCAATGGACAGGTTCAGGTTAGTAAAACTCACATTTACCTTCTCCCACGCCCAGCTACCGGACCCCCAGCGGCGATGTCCCTACCAGGGTTCTTTTCACTGCACTGTTGTGCCTTTTGATGGTCTTTTAGTGCATTGTAGTGATTTTCTAGTTTTCACTGGGACTTTACTTTGTTTTACTTCCCATATTGACTTCTATAGCGCTGGCTAATATATATTTCAGTTATCCTGATTTTTAATAAGCTACCACATTTGGGACATTACTTTTCTTTTCCACTGGGCACTGGTACCGTGCGATATAGCTTGACTCAATCTGCACCCAAGCTACAGACAATCAGAGAAACAGTAAGTATATTACTATGCCTGTCTATTGTGTAGCTGTCTGTGTGTCCTTTTTCTCTTATACAGGATGCTTTTTTACAATATGCTTGTAATAGACAAAAAGATGCTTCATTTAATCCACAGCCAAGTTGCAGACAGAGAAACTACAGACCGAATGGCGGTAATATACTTACTATGTGTCTGCCTAGGTGTCCTCTCCTCCTAATGCAGAATGCTTGACTTCCAGTTCACTACACTCATCAGACAGTGTTTTAATGGAATGAGGGGCTAAGGAGGCGTGGCTTTGGGTCAGCATTTTGCAAAACATTTATTTGCAAAAAAAAGTATTGAGAATGGGAAAAAATACAGCATGTCAATGAGGTCATAAGTTACTTTGAAAGCCAGCATGTCCATTTAAACACTACTTAGAGGTTGTGTTTGTTTGTTTTTACTGTTAGTCCAACCATTCTTGGGTCCAGAATTCATCTCCCTATACTCTGTCTGTTCTACTCCACAGGCAATTTTACAATTCCTGTGATTCCATCTACCATCATCTAAACATGTCTACTCTCATCGCATATTGGCAATGCAATAGGTACCTATATAATATATAAAGACCAGTACTTGAGTCTCTAAAACACATTTCCATTACCAGACTATTATAATGTAACTTGACTCTATGATTTTGAAACAGGTTCTAACATATTACCACATTAATCTTGTTTTTAAATGTATCATATTCACAAGTCATTTGAGGCTCGCCGTTAACCCTTTAGCTGCTAGGAGATCTGGCCGTTTAGGGACTAAAATCCATGCTGACTCCAGCTGCATTAAGGGATTATGGGAACAACATGCAAAACAAGCATTTTTGTCCTGTTATCTGCTATTGAGAAGCAAAGGGTTATAAACCTCTTGAGCCCATGGAATTGACAGCGTGAAAGACATCTGCTTGTGAGGCAGAATCACAGTGAGTATAAAACACTTTGTTGTGAGGAATTTCCCACGCTATGATAAAGGAACGTAATCTGCTTAAAGCGAACTGTTCTGTTATAGAGTCCGAACACAAAATATAGTGAATTGAAATCCAAATTTTCACACATTTGTCTAACATAGTCCAGCATTAACTGTAGCTACTTAGCTCGCTAGCTCAGTAGTGACTGAATCAACACTTTTGACCTAAATTTTACGGATCTGGTTTTCATTTCACTGCAAATCATAGTTTAGTGGTTAACCTCCATAGTTATTTTATTGTTCAATAAAAATGATGCTTCTTCTTTCATTTTCAGAACTTGCAGAATTTATGAACTTCTCCCTTCCCCAGAGTTTAGAATGTTTCTATATGCAGTCAGCAAAGTATGTGTTCCTGTAAAAAAACAAACAATAATTTTCTATTTCCTGTTTCTCCCAGTTCTAAGGCTCCTGTTGGCTGCTGGGTTAGCCTGAGCTAATCTCTAGTCATCAAAAAACAGATTGCTGTATTGCCTTTTCTATGATAATTCTTATAATTATTAGTATATATGTGTGTATATACAGTATCTCACAAAAGTGAGTACACCCCTAACATTTTTGAGAATATTTTATTATATCTTTTCATGTGACAACACTGAAGAAATGACACTATGCTACAATGTAAAGCAGTAAGTGTACAGCCTGTATAACAGTGTAAATTTGCTGTCCCCTCAAAATAACTCAACACACAGCCATTAATGTCTAAACCGTTGGCAACAAAAGTGAGTACACCCTTAAGTTGAAATGTCCAAATTGGGCCCAAAGTGTTAATATTTTATGTGGCCACCATTATTTTTCAGCACTACCTTAACCCTCATGGGCATTGAGTTCACCAGAGCTTCAGAGGTTGCCACTGGAGTCCTCTTCCTCTCCTCCATGATGACATCACGGAGCTGGTGGATGTTATAGACCTTCCATTTGAGGATGCCCCACAGATGCTCAATAGGGTTTAGGTCTGGAGACATGCTTGGCCAGTCCATCACCTTTACCTTCAGCTTCTTCAGCAAGGCAGTGTTCGTCTTGGAGGTGTGTGGGTCCTTATAATGTTGGAATACTGACCTGCGGCCCAGTCTCCGAAAGGAGGGGATCATGCTCTGCTTCAGTACATCACAGTACATGTTGGTTCCCTTAATGAACTGTAGCTCCCCAGTGCCGGCAGCACTCATGCAGGCCCAGACCATCACACTCCCACCACCATGCTTGACTGTAGGCAAGACACACTTGTCTTTGTACTCCTCACCTGGTTGCTGCCACACACATCTTTTTTCAGATCCTCATAGAGTTCTTTGCCATGAGGTGCCATGTTGAACTTCCAGTGACCAGTATAAGAGAGTGTGAGATCGATAACACCAAATTTAACACACCTGCTCCCCATTCACACCTGAGACCTTGTAACACTAACAAGTCACATGACACTGGGGAGGGAAATGGCTAATTGGGACAATTTGGAAATTTCCAATTAGGGGTGTACTCACTTTTGTTGCCAACAGTTTAGGTACACTTACTACTTTACATTGTAGCAGAGTGTCATTTCTTCAGTGTTGTCACATGAAAAGATATAATAAAATATTTACAAAAATGTGAGTGGTGTCAACATATTTTGCTTCACTTTACAGTTATACAGTCAAAATATATAACAGCAAGTAGTTTACAGACAAAAATAAGAGGTGAAGAAGGCCTTGTCCAAAGAGCATACAGTTTAGGAGATCAGGGTTTTTCACTAAACTGTTGAGATACAGCCAGTGAAGTTTTGCATTGAAGCAAGCTATCTGATCCAAAAACACAATTAAGCTGGACAATCTTTCTGACTGAATTAAATTGTCAACAAATCACTCTTTAGTGAATAACTATGTATAATTCGTGATGTTGTTTAAACCCCCAAAAGCCTGTTCTGACAGTAAATAATTGCAATTTTTTGCAAACACAGAATAGTGTGAAGTGTACACTGACTACATGGTGAATTGATTGCGTAGGTTATACTTCTTAACGGTGTGTTTTCAAGTGCATTGCTGTTCATAAAATTAGACCAACTCTTCATGATCTGAAACAAATTCCTTCATTTTCCTTGTATATTACTTGCACGTTTGGGATTTGAAGACTGATAGACATAATGAAGGATTTTAGAGCTTACCGTAGGTGTCATTTATTTTTCTATGCAACATAGGGACTTTGAAAAAAGTGTCTAAGTTAGACCCACCTTTTTACCCTCAGTCACTTGGCAATACAATCATATTAATATTTACAAAGAAATAGTTATTTGTTCCATTTCTACATATTATTACACAGACATTAATAATAAGAATAAGAATATAGCCCAAATAGTGATGTAGACATGAAATTGCACTCATAATTATTGTAACATAATTTAAAATGTATTTATTGAGAAGAAATTATATTTACATTTTTTTTTTTTATTCCCAAGAAATAAATGTTGATATCTAACCACACACATTAGCGACTGTACAATGTTTGCAAAATAAATAGCTATTCACATATAAGCAACAAAACAAAAACAAAAAATATGGTGCTAAAATAAAACTTTTTATTTTTAAACTGGCATTGAAAAATATTATTATACTCTGTCAACGTGTACCTAGCTAAAATTGAGAAGACTTGGCAACCAGTCAGGAATATGTACAGGAGAATGTGGTTTGGTATGGTTGGATGTTATCGAGATTCTGTTTACATGACTAACTCTTTCTGGGCTAGTAGCTTAAACAATACATTGTGAATTTGAAATTTTGAACTACCCTTTTTCCTTAAAAATAAGATATCCCCCGAAAATAAGCTAGGGCTTGTTTTCGGAGGATGTCTTATTTTCGGGGGGAAATGGAAATAAGCCCTACCCCGAAAATAAGCCCTAATTGCTAGTCACTAATTCGCTAATCTGTGTTTGGGGACTTTTCCCCAAACATAGATTTGCGGGATTCCATGAGCTGGTAAACTAATCTATGTTCGGTGAAGTTTCCTCGAACATAGATTTGCGGGATTCCATGCACTAGTGAACTCATCTTTGTTCGGGGGAATTCCCCCAAACGTAGACCTGCTTTCTAGTACATACTCGCTACCATTTTGCCCCGAAAATAAGTCCGTGTGCTTTTTTGATGGGGGAAAATTAACACAAGACCCGGTCTTGATTTTGTAGAAAGACTGTAGTAACAACTAGGATGTACAATTATTACTCACACTGCACAAAACTGACAAGGGAACTGCAAAATCTATGTCAAAAAACCCTAGCTGAAAAAGAAGCTGAAAACTTTTATAGTATGGAATTTTTGGCCTAGAATATAAAGCTTACATGTCAGTTCTCCCCAATTCCTGTTTTAATGGTTTACCCTCTATGTTCCAAATATAATATAATAAAGGGAGTGTATTCACTTGCTAGCAGGTTATGGTGATATGACAAGAGTGCTAACATTTTAGAAAAAATAGTTAAGATCGAGAAAATCTCAGGACATAAATCATTATGAAAAAAAAAATGCCCAGGAATATTTCAAGCACTGATTACTTATTTATAAGTATACATCCTCCAGTGATCATTGTAATCATGGAACTGCATTATTACATCCCATACTAAACCCAATCAGGACCCAATCAGAATCCATCCGATCTAGAATTATGTGTGCATATTTAAACACACTGTGTGCCTGTTGGCATCAACGGTGGTCAATGACATTTTTTTAATATTCCGATAACTAATTATTAGTGTCAGCGAAAGCTTGGGGATTTTGCAGAATGCAGGCAGCGGTATCTGCTCAAAAGAGCATGAGGTGTCTCTGCACACCCCCTTTTATGAAGGCAAGGCAGCATAGTTTGATAATGAGATGTATAGATCAAAATTCTGCTACAAAGCCTTATTTTTTCTCTATAGACCATGTATTACATTATTTACAGTAAACTGTAAAGTCCAATTTAAATAGATTTTCTGAACAGAGCCTATTTGGGATAAATCTAAGGATTTCTCCCATACAAATCAAACACTGAAAACATTGCAGAACTATTCAGAGCATCAACAGCAGTTATCTGAACAACTTTGCCATGCAAGCTAAAGCTGTTGCTATAGCAACACATGGAACACATGATGAAAATGCCCTTCTAATTATTGATACTTATTCCCTTCTTTGGCAACACATTTGGGGGTTATTCACTAAATTGTGAGTTATAGAGAATTGGCATTAAGGCATTTTTAATTTAAGGTGGGAATGGGTTAATGGAAAGAAAAAAATATCTCTCTATCAACTGTTCCCCCAGTTTGAATATTTTAACCTACAAGGTTAATTTAACACAGTTCCTACATTCATGAAACACCATTTCAATCTGATTAAAAATGCTCTGGACACATGGAATAACAATGGAACATGGGTTGTGAAAACAAATGCAAATATTAAATAGTTACATTTATTTCTACCTAGGATTTCACTTGTGGTGAGAACTGCTTAATGGCCTAAATGTCCAGTCACCTCCTATTGCCTGTAATTATTTGTCATATTGGATCACCATGTTTCACAGCACAGGTGGCCAAAAGGTAGACTCCTAGCTAGCAAAGATTACAACTCCCATTATGGTGTCCTATTCGTATGACTGGTAAAGCATCATGGGAGTTGGAGTTCTACAATATTTGGAGAGGGTCTACCATCTGCCCAATTATTACACTGAATTAATCTAGTAAATTTAATAATAAAATAACTCACCCATGATTTTTTTTGCTCACATTGAAACATTTGTCCAAAATGTATCCTCTACACAAGTCATAGGAAATTGAAACATTGTAAATATCAAGACACTCCAATCTTTTCTAATTCTACTCCTCATACTGAAAAAGTTGCCCAAAATGTAACCTTCTAGTCACATAGGAATTTGAAACTCATTACTCTGTCATTGAAGTTTTAATGTCCCAGTACCAGTCTGCATAACACTGAAACTTCCTATTTATTCTTTGAAATAGTAATTCCCTGCCCATGTTGTAATACAATCTCTAACAAAGAGCAATAAGAGAGTAGGCATCATAGGAGATGAGTGCATGTATTCACCCTTTTTCTACTTTTTTTTTGTTAACCCCCTACTTGCCCATTTGAAATGATCCTGTTGGTTTCAGCAGAGGCACCTTTTCCAGTTCAGAAACCCTGCATAGTCTTCACCCTCCCTAGCAAATGAGAGAGTTCCCCCCCCCCCTGTTCTCAGAGTTTGTGTTGGGGCACTGTCTTGACTTGTTGCAATGCCACCTCCTTCTCAAGACTTTTCTCATTGTAGTCCATTGCATGGTTGTCCATGTAGTGTTTTCTCACCATATGACATATGATAGCTATGATAACAGTAAGCATGGACAAGATGCCAATGCAGATGCCAAGAAGCATGGCTGGTTGGAGGGTAAGGCTTTCAGGGGTTGGTGGTTTAGTTGGGATGGGGGGCATTTCTGTTGTTGGTCCATCATTTAAGGTGCAAGATGTGTCTTTCTCTAGGGTGAAGCCCTCTGGGCAAATGCATTCAAAAGATCCATGGTTGTTTATACACATTCCTTTGCAAGGTTCAGAATCGCATTCGTCAATTTTAACACAGAACTTGCCTTCTGCTCCCAAGTCATCCAGAACGTACCCATCTGGACAATTACATAAGCCATCATTTGGATCACACAAAGCTTCACAGGACCGCTGACCACAGAATTGCTTGCACTTATTGGGGTTTTTATCATCTACTATATAACCACTTGAGCAGCTACAGCTATAGCTACCATATGTATTGTTGCACTGGTCCTCACATATACTCATGTCACACTCATCAATGTCTTCACATTGCCCATCTATCATCTCAAAGCCTGGGTGGCACTTGCAGAGGAAGCTACCAGGGGTATTGATGCAGATCTGGTCACAGATATCAGGGTGGGCTCCGCAGTCATCAATATCTTGACACCTGGTCCTATTCACTAACTTATAGCCCTCATCACACATGCACTGGTATTCAGATTCACGCATCTGGACACATTGTTGCTCACAAGGGTTGGAGTCACATGGCCTAGTACAAGTTCTACCATCTTTGAGGGATAAACGTCCAGTTTCACATTGACAAACTGGTGTCTCCATACCATCACATATAAACTCACAGCCCCCATTTTCTACCACACAGTTCCAGGCTCCAGGTGTCTCAGAGGTCCACCGCATAGTGCCATTTCCAGTGTTATTGCACACAAGAGGGAAGGCGATATTTGATACATAAGCAGAGGTGCCTGGAGGCAGAAACAAAGAGCTACCATCACTCAACCCAAAAGGTGTTTCATAAGTAACATCAAACCATTCAGACGGGGGTATGGGCGAACAGGACTGGGGGAAACTGAGTACGCACACAAATCCATCTGTTTTGTCTTCGCAGTTTGATTCTTCCCAGGTTTGGTTTTCGTTGACAGAGACACAGCGAGGTCCACACTTCCTCTCATTGTCCTTCCACTTGGTGTAATCTGTGTTACTGTCACCAGTGGTCCAGGTAAAACCTCTCAAAGGTTTGCTGAGATCTGTGCATTGTAGGCGAGGAGGTAACTCCAGTCCAATCCAAACCCTGCTGGACTCTCTCTCAGCCTTCTCCATTAGAATGTTGATGACCTCAGCCTCCACTGAGGACCTCACTTCCATCAGCTGTCCATTCTGCTTCTTGCACAACTTGTTGGCCCCCTGATACTTCTTGCTGTTCCATGATATCACATAACACGACTTATTGATGCATACAAAGTCCGGAGATTGCTGCTCAGAGGGAGCCAGATTTGCCAACTGAGCTGAGGCAAGGATTCCCAAAAAGGTCTGGAAAATCAACAACATTGTATCTCAGTGTTCCAGCTGACACAAGTCTGGGGACAAGAAGGCTGGCTTTTCCACCAAGCTGCAGAGGAGTGAGTGTCCAAATTGTTGAACTGCTGATCTTCACTCACTGAGATCTGTGTCATATTTCAGAAGTTTGTGCTTTATAAACTCTCAGCCCTCCCAGCAGCGCAGGAGTAGAGAGGAAATAAGGAAGTGCCTGGAAGGAAGGGCTGGGACAGCCTGGGATGCTGATGATCTGCCTGTTATACAGACTGATTGCCCTGTAACTCGCCATTCAGTGACCAGGACACGCTACTCCCAGTAAATCATAATCAGAGAAAGTGTGTAATGGGACGGGGGGTGGAGGGAGGGGGTGGAGGGATGGATCCTTTTACTTGTTAAACTCTTCTCTGAGGACTTCTGGTGAAACTTTCCACTGACGATCATTAAACGTCTTATTGTGCTTTTCTGATAGATTTTCTGTTTGTTTTCTGTTTACAAAATAATAATAATGGTAAATAAATGAAACACACACACACTCTCTCTCTCTCTCTCTCTCTCTCTCTCTCTCTCTCTCTCTAAAACTAACTAAATAAATAATATATATATAACATATGGCACAATGTGCTTATACTACTAAAAAACAAACAGTGAATTTTGACTATTTTCGTTTAGATTTTTCCCAATTAATTTTTCAGTTTACCAAATGCACTGTTAAGTGAATAGACCCTTCACTGTGAAAATGATCTAAATACTGAACCGTGTGACATTAGAGGGGATTCATAATTACATAAATGAACAGTGAAATAAAATAATATTCTAGTAACAGGTATTGAATTATTTCCTGTCATTATACAGTAAATCATGAACATGCAATCTATCACTACCACTACAGCCGTATAGAGTGGGCTACAGCTGAGCACCCTTTATCTTTGTGACTGTCCCTTGAGATGCAGTGGGCTGTAACTCACATCACTCCAATTCAGTTATGATCAATAGTATCCCCATAACCAGTGAATTGTCACCTAATGCTAAAGGTGACTCTAACTCTGTGTGTACCTGATTCTATCTTTCTAGGGTCATTTACTAAGCTGTGACTTTGTGAAGCAAATAAAAAACTTGTGAATTAAAAAAAAAGAAAATGTTCTAATCAGCTCTGAGATCACCTTCATAAGCAAAAATCAGGCCAGTGGACATTTGGTTAAACAAAATGTAATGAAAGAGGGGTCCACATGTTTGACACCCATAGCATAAATGTAACCTATGTCAAAGGACCCAGTACATATCCAGATAAATAAAATGTGTGTTTCTCTAAGTAACAAAAAGGCAAGTTGTCTTTTCAGTCCTTAGATGTTCACCATGAGCCAGATAAAAGTGTGGGATTTAGTAGGTATTTAATTATGCATTTTTCATTCTGGTATATTTTAAAAAAAAAAGCAGCTTGCATAAGCTGTAGATCTCTTGTCTGCAGCCTTTGTAAACCCTCCCCTTCTAACCCCGCCCAGACTTTCTGTGGCTGTCCAATCACAGACTTCCCAATGCAGCTCAATGAGAAGTCTTTACAAGGTCTGAGCAATTGCTGCCTCTTGAGTTTAGCTCCACTGAACTAACCATATCAGGAAGCAACAGGACTGGTTGTCTGACAGCGTGGGTCAGCAAGGTGAAGTGATTTAAGGGTCTGGAGTGTCCCTTTAAGCATGTTTGTTTATTGAACAATAGAGGGATGTCTAGCAGAGCTTGGGGGTTTACATATAGAAAATAAACTGTTGGTGTGTAGTGATGTCCCGAACAGTTCGCCGAACGGTTCACGAAAGGTTCGCCACGAACGGTTCGCCACGGACTCATCATTGAGTAAACTTTGACCCTGTACCTCACAGTCAGCAGACACATTCCAGCCAATCTAACCATGGGAGTTCTTTTATACAAAGCCCTTAGCTAGATAGCCTGTGAGCTTACGATCTAAATATATGTGCTCTGTTTCTGTTTATACACAAATGTGATATGTGTGTGCATTGATTATGTGAAGGAATACATTTGATACAGTATGTGTTGTTTCAGTGTAGGAATACGTTTTAGATTTATTTGATTATTTCTATATAGTAATGAGATTGGTGTCTGTGTGAAGAAACAAGTCTGACACGTGCTATGTTTCTGTATAGGAATACATGTATGTGCATGTATCGTGTCTGTGTAGGAATAAGTGTGATATGTGTTTGCTGCGGAAATTGGAATACGTTAGATATGTGTTTTATATGGAAATAATAATATGTGTGTGATGTGATGTGTGTGTGTGTGTGTGTGAAATTAGTTTGTTAAGTCTGTGTTTAAAGTGACTCAGTGGCTTGTATCTGTGAAGATGCTTGCATACAGGTGTATAGATTATAGGGGCAGCAATCTTGTCACTGTAATGTGCTTTAATTACGATGTATTATTATATTATTTTTGTTCTGTGTGGCCACTGTGAAATGCAACAAAACAAATAAAACTTCACTGTGGATTGTAGTTTTACCTTCCAATGTGGAGAATGCTATTAAACAGTGCTCAATCCCCCACCACAACACCCTGATCAGCTCCCATAGAACACAACAAGATTCTTCTCCCAACATAACACAACACCCCAAACATTCTACACACACACACACACACACACACACACGGACACACACACACGGACACACACAACACCACTAGCAACCACCTATGCAGCACATACTGATGCACATATTTTTATTGATCAAACTTCCAGAGTTGGAGGGACAGCAGGGTTTGGTGTCTAATGGTGGGAGGCGGTGGAGCTGTACATTGCCTCCACAGACTCCATCTTGCTACACACTTCATGAGTTCCTCAGTAAAGGAAGTGGGGTCTTTTATTCAGCCCCCCCCCCCCAGCAAATAACTTCCATTATACATTATAGACCTCAGCATAGGAGACTTGTGAAGAGACACTGAAAAATACCAGCAGGAGGGAAAATCTAAACTAGTGAAGAAATGGAGGGGTGCAGGGGGGGAGGAGGGAGGGGCTTGTAGTGTTATCATGGAATTGGGAGAGGAAAGAAAGACTGGAAAAGAAACAATGGTAAACTCTGGGAGATGGAACATTCAGAAAATAGACTGAACAGAAACAAAGTTTAAACTTACGACGTGTAGGGACTGGGGATGAGATATAAATGTAGAATGTGTTAAAGAAAATTATTAACTGCCTGTATTTTGCCCTCTGCATAATATCAAATTGATGCTTTAAAAGCCATATGAAACAAACATTTTCTGCTTGGTTCATTATTATTATTATTATGATATTTATAGAGCGCCGTCAAATTCCGCAGCACTTTACAATGGGTGGATGAACAGACATGTTGTAACCAGACAAGTTGGACACACAGGAACAGAGGGGTTGAAGGCCCTGCTCAATGAGCTTACATGCTAGAGGGAGTGGGGTAAAATTACACAAAAGGTAAGGGTAGTATTAGACTAGTGACAGTTGCAGAAGAGGAATCAGTCAGGAGTTATTAACAGTTTAATTGATACGCTTTTATGAAGAAGTGGGTTTTTAACGATTTTTTGAAGGAGTGGAGACTGGGTGAGCATCTAACGGAGGAGGGAAGCGAGTTCCACAGGAACGGTGCAGCCCTCGAGAAATCTTGAAGGCGAGCATCAGAGGTGGGAGTATGGACAGAAGATAGATGTAAGTCTTCAGCAGATCGTAAGGGCCTAGACGGGACATACTTGTGTATAAGGGAGGATAGATAGGTGGGAGCAGCATTATGAAGAGATTTGAAAGCAAGAACCAGAATTTTAAATTGAGCTATATATTTTATAGGAAGCCAATGTAAGGACTGACAGAATGGTGAGGCATGGGAAGTGTGGGCGGACAAGAAGATGAGCCTCGCCGCCGCATTCATTATGGACTGTAACGGCGCAAGTTGGGAGCACGTAAGACCACTGAGAAGCGGATTACAGTAGTCAAGGCGAGAAAGGACAGTGGAATGGACCAACACCTTAGTCGCATCTGGCGTTAAGTAGGGGCGGATGTGCGCAATGTTTTTGAGATGGAAATGACAGGATTTGATTCATCTATTCTGTTTGCGTGCACAAATTTACTTTCAAATGCTACATCCACCACCCAGGTCCTACGAGGACGAGATAAAGAAACTCAGAGTTGGAGAACGTGCAGAGACTTGGATTGGTCAAAACACATCACTGGGACATTTTCAAAAATGATAAAGACAATGTTTTATCTGATCGTAGTGCGCACCAGCTGAATTACTTTGAAAGTGCTAAAACTCTGTCACTTTTATAATCCTGCTTGATTGTTTAATAATAATCCTTTTGATTTGGACCAGTTGTTTCACGTGCCTCATTTTCCTCAACAAATGACACATGGATAGAAAATGAGACTGGCAGAAAGGGACCCTGCTAACTACTGAGAGGGAAAATAAATGGGGAAAATATGTCCGAGGGAGGTGTGGGATACGCAAGGAGGCTTCAGAATGGATTTTTGCTTAGAGTAGTAAAAATCCCTGTACCAGCCCTGAATGGGTTAATAATACATGAGTCTATACATAATATAATAAACAATAATAAAAAACAAATATTAAATGGAAGAATATAAAATGTATATATATATATATATTTTTTTTTTCTTACATTCTGACACATCCAATTATTTTTTTAAATACAAATTTTATAAAATTTTCCAAGGGGTTGTTGAAAGAAAGTATCTTCCTCAATATAACACAATCCATGTTTGGAAACTTGGTGTTTTCGACACCATTACTTTTTCCTGACACGCTTATAACTCAATGTACCACATTAAATTACTTCCTCATTTGTTTAGCAAGTCTGGAATTTGTCACTGGTTCTTAGAAACTCAGGGCAACCAAAGTTAATTTTCTGTGGGGTATTGGCATTGCTAGGATAGGAATTGTCATACTCTAAGTACCTACCTGATATAAAAAGAAAAATCACTAGTATAGTGTTCTGCAAAGCTACTAAGAGGGAGTGGTTGTTGCCTCCCCAGGAGACTGTTGGGTGCAGGGCCAGGTTAAGAGCCCAGTGGGCCTGGTGCTGACAATTATGATGGGACCTAATTACAAAATCTTATTGCCCAAAAACACTAAAACAGCCATACCTCCCAAGGGTCATGTATCTGATGGAGTTGGTGTTGGAGGGAAACTCAAAGGATGCAGCTATAAGAAAAAAGGGGTATGTCTGTCCAAAGAATTCGAGGGCCAGCATGGTCGGTGCTGGTTTTGCAGAGTAATCTCCGTTTATACTGAGAAAAATATTTGCATTTGTATTGCCGGAATAACTGCAATACCATCACGGCCAGGCAGCCTCAAATACCTTAAAATACCAGTCAGGTGGCAAACCTAAGAGTAGTGTGTAAAAATAAAAATAAAGTAATTTTAAATTTTTTTTTTTTTTAAATGGGCCTATTCCATGGGCCTGGAGCTGCAGCTCCATCAGCCCCTATGTTAATCCGGCCCTGGTTAGGTGGGGTGCCTCAAACAGAAATGTGCTGCTCTATTG